ATATCTTACTCATTTGTATTTCCATAGGCAGAGCACTGTGTGCACGAAGCAAGGACTGATGAAAGTGAGTCAAGGAATGTCATCTCTCAGTTAGATCTTGGTTTATTATGGGCCAACAGTTAGGTTTTGATTTACTATGGGCCAGCAGTAGTCTGTGGGTCCCTGGGGCCATTTCAGAGCTGTCTGCAATTTTGAAATTATTTTCACAACACTAAGATGTTATTTGCCATTTCACTGTGTTGACATTTGCCCTGACGGTACAAAAGCAATGGTGGTTAATACTGCTTGGTGCTTAAGCATAAATCAAAGCAGTGACTCCAAACTGTACTAGTAGTCACCATATTCTACATGCCATGCACTGACACTTTATATAAAAATGTCCTTTATGAAGCAGCGAAAATTGTTAATTTTAAGTCTTAACTCCTGAGCACATGTCTTTTTTAATATTCTGAGTGTTGACATGGGAAATATGTGTTTTGGGAAGGTGTTTTATAACACCTTCTACTGAATATTGAAATCCATTAATTGTCTCAAGGAAAAGCACCTGTGTGATTAAGTTGCTACCTGAACTCGCTGCTTTTTTCATGGAACGCTATTTTTATTTGAGGGCACTACTGACAAATTATGATTATTCAGACTTGGATATTTGGCATACATTTTCTTGTGAATTCAAGGAGGGAAACATCAGTTCAAGGAAAACAACCGACATTTGTTACCAATGCTTAAATTTCAAGCACAAATTAGAATTTTGGAAAATGTGTGTTTACCATCTGAATGCAATAGCTTCTCAATACTTCTTGACTTTTTTGATGAGATCCATGGTGATATTAATAGATGGAATTTTTGGGGGGGATGTTATATAATTAAGTCACATTCTACATTGCAACTAACCTTTCAAAACACTACCACTTGCTGACTTTGGAAAAAATTTTCTTCATATACTTAAACAAAAACAACATATAGCAATAGATGGAATGCAGCAGCAGATCTGGAACTCCCACTGTCCACTATGAAGGTGGACAGAAAACAGATTGGCACACAATGCCAGTCGTTTCATTTTATTATTTTTTTATTTTGGAAAATACAGTTATTTTTCATTAAGATATTTATGTCATGGGTTTATTTTTTAAATAAATCAAAATTTTTTCAGTTCTAATGTCTAATATGGCAAATATCAATAGATCACTTATATAAACAAATGATCTTCGGGGTCTTCAATCGTTTTTTTAAGAGTTTTGTAAAGGGGTCCTAAGGTTGAAAGTTTGAGAACTGTTGCTGTAAGCTAACGCTTATTACAGTGGAACCTAATTCTTTACGCGTCCCTTTCCATGTCAGAGTGAAAGGTCAGAATCTACCCGGGCTTCACATGAGTGCTCACTACACAGACGGAGAAAGACGCCTAGGATCAGCTCAGCGCCAGAGTGAGGGAGGGAGCGAAGAGGGCGTCTCCGGTCTCTGTGGAAACCGCCCTTCCCCGGTTTTCCGGACCTTGTCCTTCTCTCCTCTCCGCCTCTGATTGGAGCAGGCTGTCAGTGGGCGGTGCGCCGGGGAAGGGGCGGGACTTCATCCTCGTCCCGGAGCCACTCGCATGAACGTACTGACGTCACGCAAAACGCCGCTGCCTTGTCGCCCAGCTTGTGCAACCCCAGCGGAGCCGCTGGGTTTATCTCAGAGGGGCGTGAGCGGCCTGCTTGGCGGGGTCGTAGGCCTGGGCGCCGGCAGTCTCTAGCACCCCTTTTCCTGCCTGGTGCTCCCGGGCGCGTCCGTCTAGTCGTCATGGAGCTGGTTTTAAACCGAGCGGATTATTTACAGGTAAACCCAGGGATGAGGCGGGCGCTGAGCTGGGGGAGTCCCGTTCCCTGAGAGGATTCGTTCCTTCTACTGACGTAAAGCGGGGTCGCCAGGAGCGGCTGCGGAGCCGAAGGAGCTGTGCTGGGTGCTGCCCTCCCGGCTCCCCTCATCGCGGGCGGCTCCGCTTTGTCTGTGACTGTCCGCTAGGACTGGGAAAGAAGCGGCGCAAGCTCCCGCCGTGCCGGCGCGGGCCGGGTCCTGAGGATGCTCCCCGCGTCCTGACGCGGTCTGATCCCGAATTCCTCCCCCAGGCCCTTCCCGCCTTCTCCCCACCTGCAGCTAACTCCTGAATCTCCATCTCTACCCGGTCCCTTCTCCCGAGCGCCAGACACTTGTTTTTTACTGTGAGCTGGACCACATCAGTCATATCATAATAAAAGCAATGCCAACCGTTTATTGTGCATCTAGGTTATTCTGAGAGCTTAGCATACACAAATGTTTAATCCTTTTAAGAATTTTCAAAGTAGTCAGTATTAGAAAAGAGGATCCAAGGGCTTAGAGAAGCTAAATAATTTGCTTATTGCTAAAAATTATGGAGTTGCTGTTTGACTCAGAGTCACGGACTCCGGAGCTGGTGTTCTTTCTGTTATACCACACTGCCTTCCAGAGGTCTTTCAGACCTAGAATTCTCTCTCCCAATTCCCCATCTCCCCCTTTTTTAGCTATCCCATTTTAGCCGATGGTACAAATGTTTACCCAATTTTCCAGGGAATTATGCTAGGTACTTCCCACCTTAATATCTTCCATATCCAACTGGTCATCATGTCCTGCTGCTTTTATCTCCTAAATGTCTCTTGAATTTGTACCATTTTCCTCTGTTACCCTCAGTTTGAGTTATCATCTTCCCTTGCTTGAATAATTGAAGTAGCTTCCTATTTGGGCTCCTAGCCTCCACTTCATCTCTCTCCAAACCATCCTTCACATCTCTTGCTAGACTGATGTTTCAGAAATACAAATCTAGACAGATTACTTTAAACTTTAACACTACTCCCTGGAATGCAGAATAAAATTATATACTATATGCAAGTTCTTTCATGCTGTGTTGTTTTCTCCAACTTCTGTCCCATTAGTCCCATCCTCCTCCCCTAACAGTGATAGTTCCCTGCCAAATAAGCCGTGCTGTTTTCATTCTCTGTACCTTTTGTAAAATAATTTATATCATCAGTTAGATAGGATGTTACTGACATCAGCATGTTTGGTATTTTATTTATTTACTTATTTATTTTAGAGACAGAGTTTTTGCTTTGTTGCCCAGGCTGGAGTGCAGTGGCACAATCACAGCTTGCTGTTACCTTGAATTCCTAGACTCAAGCAGTCATCCTGCCTTGGACTCCCAAGTAGCTGGGACTACAGGAGTGAGCCACCATGTCAGACTAATTTTTAAATTTTTTTGTAAAGACAAGGTCTCGCTATGTTGCCCAGGCTGGTCTTGAACTCTTGGCCTCAAGTGATCCTCCTGCCTTGGCCTCTCAAAGTGCTGGCATTATAAGTACGAGCCATCATGCTTGGCCAGCATATTTGGTATTTTAGCAGAAATCTTCTATGTTGCATTTTTGATAACTATAACCTATTTCCAAAAATTTTTAATCACTTTAGAAAACAACTGAATGAAGTTAGAAAAGAAGGCTTCTAGAAATATTTTTTTCATAATGTTCCTTACTGGTAATGTCACACAATTATTTTTGGCGTGACAACTTTATAGGATAAATTACTGTTTTGGTTGTTTCCTATATGCTTTCTGACTTTTGTGACATATTTCATTAGAAAGTAAGTTCATAGGCTGGATACTATGGCTCACTTTTATAATCCCAGCACCGTGGGAAGCTGAGGCGGGAGGATTGCTTGAGGCCAGGAGTTTGAGACCAGCCTGGGTGACATAGTGAGACCCCATCTCTAAAAAAATGTTTTTTTAAAAGTTCATCACTGATATTAATAATTATATTGCTAATGTCAGTTAAAAGAAAAAGAAAAGCTCACTATGACCTGAGTCTGCTGATACTTTTAATCTCTGATGTAATAACTTCAAATTAAATTCACTAGGTGGCTGGTGTTTTTCCTTAGGTGGGAGTGACTTCTCAGAAGACTATGAAGCTGCTTCCTGCCTCAAAACATAAAGCTACACAAAAGGTACTGTATAGATTCTGATTGCTCTACTTTTCCCTAGCTCTGACAGTAGACAGGTTCGTATTAATAAATTATTCTTTTAAGAGTGCTAATGTTAAAGTAGAAATTAATTTTTAAAAATTTGAACAGAAGTTGGAATACCAAGGGACATTTATAGACAATAATCTTGGACATTAAAACTATTACATGCAGTTAGTAAATAGTGCAAGCAAATTTGCTAAAAATCATACTCCATTTTTCTGGTAATAATTTATTATGCTATGTGTACTGTGTCTACCAGATTGTGTATATGGAAAAAGAAATAAAAAACACAATATGATATGGAGAAAATGCTTTTTTAAAACTTTAAAATAGTTACAAATAAGATAAAATATCCAGGAATAAATTTAACCAAGGAGGTGAAAGACCTCTACAATAAAAACTTCAAAACATTGATGGAAGAAATTGAAGTGGATACAAACAAATGAAAAGATGTCCCACACTCATGGATTAGAAGAATTAATATTGTTAAAATGACCATACTACCCAAAGAAATCTATGGATTCAATGCAGTCCCTATCAAAATACCAATGACATTCTTCACAGAAATAGAAAAAAAAAAAATCCTAAAATTTGTATAGAAACCACAAGAGACCCCTAATAGCCAAAGCAATCCTGAACAAAAAGAACAAAACTGAAAGTATCATACTACCAGACCTCAAAATATACTATAAAGCTGTAGTAACCAAAACACCATGATACTGGCATAAAAACAGACACACAGACCAATGGAACAGAATAGAGAACCCAGAAATTAATCCACATATTTACGGCCAACTGATTTTTGACAAAGTTGCTAAGAACACTCACTGGGGAAAGGACAGTCTCTTTAATGGAGATGGGAAAACTAGATACCCATATGCCAAAGAGTGAATCTAGACTCCTACCTCTTACCCTATACAAAAATCAATTCAAGATGCATCAGATACCTAAATGTAAGATCTGAAACAATAAAACTACCAGAAGAAAACATAGGGGAAATGATTCAGGACATTTGTCTGGGGAAAGATTTTATGAAAATCTCGAAAGAACAAGCAGCAGAAGAAAAAGTAAACAAATGGAATTATATCAAACTAAAAAAACTGCACAGCAAAGGAAACAATCAACAGAGTGAAAAGATAATCTACAGAATGGGAGAAAATATTTGTAAACTACTCATTTGACAGAGGATTAATACCCAGAATGTAAAGAAGATGTACAAATGGCCAACAAACACATGAAAAAGTGCTCAACATCACTAATCACTAGGGAAATAAAATCAAAACCACAATGAAGGGTTGGGCGTGGTAGTTCATGCTGGTAATCTCAGCACTTTTGAGGCCAAGGTGGGAGTATTGATTGAGGCCAGGAGCTTGAGACCAGTCCAGGCAACAACATAGACCCCAACTGAACAAAAAGTAAAAAATAAAAATATAAAAAATTAGTTGGGATTGTGGTGCATGTGTGTAGTCCTAGTGACTTGGGAGGCTGAGGCAGAGGATTGCTTGAGCTCAGGAGTGCCAGGTTGCAGTGAGCTGTGATCATGCCACTGTGCTCTACCCTGTTTCTAAAAACAAAACAAACCACCACAATGAGGTATCGTGGTATCATCTCACCCCAGTTAGAATGGCTGGTATCAAAAAGACAAAAAATAAAAAATGCTGGCAAAGATGTGGCGAAAAGGGAACACTTTTGTACTGTTAGTGGGAATGTAAGCTAGTATAACCCATATGGAGAACATAGATATTTCTGAAAAACTACAAATAGAACTATTAATACTATATGATCCAGCAATCCCACTACTGGAAATTTACATGTTCACCCCCATGTTTATTGTAGCACTATTCACAATAGCTAAGATATGGAATCAACCTAGGTGTCCAACAGCAGATGAATGGATAAAGAAAATGTAGGCTATATACACAATGAAATACTACTGAGCCCTAAAAAAGAATGAAATCCTGTCATTTTTGGCAACATGGATGGAACTGGAGGGCATTATGTCAAGTGAAATAAGACAGGAACAGAAAGTTGAAATGCTGTATATTCTCTCTCACTCATATGTGGAAGCTAAAAAAAGTTGATCTTATAGAAGCAAAATGTAGGACAGAAGATACTAGACGCTGGGAAGAGTAGAGGGAAGGAAGGGATAAGGAGAGATTTGTTACAGGATACAAAATTACAGCTAGATAGGAAGAATAAGCTCTAGTGTTGTGTACCACCGTAGGGTGACTACAGTTAACAATAACATATAATTTCAAATAGCCAGGAAGAGGATATCGAACAATTGTAACACCAAGAAATATTTGAGATGATTGATATGCTACTTACCCTGATCTGATTACTATACACTCTATGTATCAAAACATCAGTATGTGTTCCATGAATATGTACAATTATTATTTGCCAATTAAAAAATAAAAAAGTGAAAAATAAAAATCTTTTGTTGCCACTTAAATTCGATCTGTAAGATCAGTACTTCTCAAACTTCTTGGTCTTAGGACCCCTTAACACACTTAAATTGTTGAGGATTTCAAAGAACTTTTGTTTATGTAGGCTATATCTATCAATATTTACTGTATTAAAATTAAAACTGAGAATATTTTATTTTAAAAAACAAGCTCATTACATTTACATAAATAACATATTTTTACTGTTTTTCAAAACAAAAAAAGAAGTAAGAGTGGCATTATGTTACTTTTTTTGTACCTTCTTTACTGTCTAGCATAAGCAGAAGCATATGGATTCTCATATCTGTTTTCTGCATTCAGTCTGTTGTGATATATTGTTTTGGTTGAAATATATGAAGAAAATCAGCTTACACTGACAAGATATTTGAAAATATGGAGGACTATTTAAATAGCTTTTCCAGATAATTAAGACTCTTCCTATTTGATGCTACATGTAAGCTTGATAAGTGGTAGTTTCTTAAACGCTAATTGCAGTGTGGAATCTCAACCATATTGACAAACTTTTCATACTTTGGTACATTAAAATCCATTGGTCTGTTTTTTCCCAAACGTGATTTTATAGCACCCAATAATGGTCGTTTAACATGACTACTTGTTGGTTCAATGAGTTACACATACCTTTCAAATGTTGACACGTTATAGAATATTATTATATTCTATGGAATATCAAATCACATTTGTTCATATCACTACTGATTTCATCAGAAAAGTTAAGTATTTCTAAGCTGTCATGCTCACAGAGTCAGATACAAGTCTTCCAAGGTGCTGATTTTCATTCGAAAGCTCAAATTTTATCATTGGCAACAAATAATATCTGTTGTTTTTCTTTTCTTTGAAGTGACAGGCTCACTTCCTTCAGTTTTAAGAAAATGTCTATGACGTATCCAAGTGCTAATAACAGTGGTTTTCAGTCATTCTTTAATTCTTAAAAATGGTGTTTCTTACACAAGGGCTTTTCCTCAAGATTGTTTTGGTATGCAGCAGAAGTACTGTATGCATACTTCCTATTTTGTTACACTAAATATTAAAAAGACATGTACTTGGGTTGAGATTTAATAAAATTAATAGTATTTATTGCTTCATCAAGGACATTCTTTTTTTTTTTTTTTTTAGACAAAGTCTCACTGTGTTTCCCCGGCTAGAGTGCCGTGGCGTCAGCCTGGCTCACAGCAACCTCAAACTCCTGGGCTCAAGCGATCCTCCTGCCTCAGCCTCCCGAGTAGCTGGGACT